CCACACCCTACAACTCATATCTACAGTCACTCTTTCAGCTTTATTCTCTTCCTGGCTCCTATACTCCAGCCATACTGGCTGCCTTTGTGCCAAACTTATTGCTTCCCCAGGGCCTTTGTACTTGCTATTCTGTCTGCTCTCTTACATTGACCACTAGATCTTGGAGTGGATGACACCTCTTCTTCAAGTGTTAATTTTGGGGCCACTTCCTTCCAGAAGCCTTCTCTGATCATTGACTGTAAATCAAACTCACTAGTTACTGTCAGTTACATGACTTTTTTTCTCCACATCAAAAATGATCTGGAATCATTCTGTTTGTTTATCCTCATTTATAGTACATGCTCATTGGAAAAATGAACCTTGTCTTTTTGATTATTGCATCTATGGTGCCTAAAGACTAATTACACAAATTGGTGTACAATAGATAGTTGATCAGTGAGCAAATGAGAATACAGACATATGCTGGAGTTGAGCTCAGGGGCATGGGCTGGGTTCGATCAATGGAGCATACAGCTAGAGGGAGCAGGATGCATGCATCAGAGAAAAGTACCTCTGACAACACTGTTACTCTCTTCATATTCTCCTTGAGAATGGAAGTTCATTCTTTTGACAGAAAATTATAAGTGAAATAATTTTATAAATACATTCAGTTAAAAATGGATTTTTTTTGTCTTACATAATTATTTCTTATGATCAAATGTATTTGGCTTAAATTATAAGAAAACCTTTTTTGATTCCTGCCTATATATGAAGGAGCCCTAGTGGTGTACTGGTTAAAAGCATTCAGCTGCTAACCAAAAAGTTGGCAGTTTGAGCCCATCAGCCACTACATAGGAGAAAGATGAAGCAGTCTGCTTTTGTAAAGATTTGGTCTTGGTAACCCTATGGGGCAGTTTCACTCTGTCCTTTAGTGTCACTGTGAGTTAGAATTGACTCCATGGCACTGAGTTTGGTTTTGGGTATGGGAACATACAAGCCAAAAATATTTTAATAAATCTAGAATACAGCCACTGTTAGAAATTAATAATACATCAAATAATAAAAATAAAATATACTGAACTTGTTCTTTCAACAAGAGGAGAAAAATTAATGTGTTTTCTATATATAACAACTCAATATTAGGTCAGCTAATAAAAAAAAATTTCTTGGATATTTAAAAATTTCCCGTAACATAATTAAAGATTCCAAAATAATGAGAAGTGATTTGATGGGAATAGTTTGCTTAAAATTTTCACTTGTAGGAAAATCAAGATTCGTATAATTAAAATGGCAAAGTAGAAAGAGTGGGTTACAGTTACCAAAGTTTGTTTTCACTCTAGGAAAAACACTTAATATTTTTAGGTCTCTGAATATTTATCTGCAAAACAATGAATGTAAAGAAGATATTTGAAAGATACCATCTGTTTTTCTCTTTTATTCTCTTAAATGCAGTACATTATATTGATTTTTACAAATCCTTCCAGCAGGTAATCTGGAAATTTAAATAATTGACCACAAGGGGGAGAACTCTAATTCTACGTACAATCATTTAATTCAATGTGAAAAAATCTAAAAGTACTTTGCAATATGAAGTTGGTGATATGCTGTCTCATTTTCACTTCCGCATCGAAGGTGGAGGAATTCGACCACTAGAGAGAGGTTTTAACGAATTGAAATGTGCTTTTGTGCTGCTGGAGTTATGATAAAGTCACTGAATGTGAAAAGATATTTCTGTTAAATAGCAATGCTCCCTGAAGGAATCTAGATGCCTCTTTTATTAAAATGAAGATAGTAGAATTCACTCTGAGAAGCTTTATTCTTTCAAGTAATATTATTTCAGTTATTCTTCAATAAAATTACATAGCTTTCCTGAAAGTCCTTGGTCAACTCTGAAACAAGGGTAAGATTGCCAGCAGGACACTTTATTGTAAAGGTGTCTATATTAAAACACCACAATTAGAATGCTGCTGACCACACCACTTAAATGTTCATTGAATATTTCACATGTAATTTTATTTATTCATTATATTTTATGTATATTTGATATTATATATATATATATATACATATATAACTTTACATATTCATTATATATATTTAATTTTACTTATATACTGTTCACTAGCTAACTTTTGAAAATATGAATCTGTTATACACTCATTGTTATACAAATATTGAATGTTATTTGTTCTCTGTTAAATATCCATTTACTGTTTGTGTTAAGTTCTATATTGTATTATTTAAAGTTTTATTGTGAGGAAACCACAACATTCATTTGGTTGAGAATTACCTTTTGAGTTTAAAATTTAATGATTCACAACATTTTAGACTTCACCAAACTATATTACATTTCTAAGATAAGAATATAATATTTCTGTATTGTATCAAATATGCCTGATTATACACAGCTAAATGAATGTTGCCACGTAAAAGATATTAGTGACCTATATAGATATCTCAATAATGTCATATGCCCAGTGACAGTAGACCTGCCTTTGAGAGTAAGTGCAATATTTTAAATTAAATCTTTCTGTGAACCAAGACTGAAGATTAGGTTTACTAATGAAATTGGGAATAAATCACCAGATCTTTCTTTGCAGAGTCTGAGTGGATTCAAAACACCTACCTTTTGGTTTACAGCTTAACCGTTGTACCATCTGCTCCAGTAAAGATTATTGTAGTTGTGTGCTGGGAGGCCACATGGCTTCACTTCTTTTAAACTCTGTAGGTTGAGACAATCACAAAGATCTACCTGATTTCAAGGGGGAGGAGATTTAGAAGACACCACACTATGGGAGGAATGTCATGTTTGTATTATAGAAAGAGCATGTGAAATATGATACATTGTGGTAGACAGTTTTAGAAAATCCAGTGTTCCACAATTTCATATATATATTATATAATATATGTAATTATATCTATATAATTATATATAATTTCACATGTAATTTCATTTACTCATTTTATGTATATTTGATATAATATATATACATAATTTTATATATTCATTATATATATATTTAATTTTACTTATAAACTGTTCATTAGCTAACTTGAGAAAATAATATTTCCCAACAAAATTCACCCCAATAGAAGGGACTTCTGTCTGATCCAATGAAAACTTTTGTTCATTTTTTTCCTTCCTGCCACTGTTCACTGTTAAATATGCTATTAAATACCTGTGCTCCCAAATCATTTCTTACATCCAAATCCTCATCATCTTTCAAAGCCAGTACCAAGGCGCACTTCTTCTACAAAGGCTATTGTTTTTTAATCAGGGAAACATTTACTTTTACCTCCACTTATTTTTGTTCCTAAATCATATATTTACTATTAATGGATATCTTATGTCTTTTTCTCAGTTCAGAGAGTAAATAATACATTCCTAACTAATATTCCCCAAACCAAACCTACTGCCATCAGTTTGGTTCTGACTCACGGTGGCCCTTTAGGATGAAGGAGAACTGCCCCATAGAGTTTCGAAGGCTGTGCGTCTATACGGAAGCAAGCTAGTGGGTTCAGACTGCTGGCTTTTTGGTTAGTAGCTGAATGCTTTAACCACTGAGCCACCAGAGCTTCTTCAACTAAATCTTAAGTGTTTAATCATTGCTAAATTAATAATATTTGAAAATTCTATATTTTCTCATTTTATCTAAAATATGCTCTTCCTGTTATTAATTTGAGATGAATGCTACTTCAAGTTCAGCTAACTGTGAAAAAGAACATTCTGTATTTAAGTACATATTAAAATATTTAAAATTAGGAATGATCATTCCTGAAATTTGATTCTGCTGTGGAAGAAATGATGGCAGATTATGTGAATATGAAGAACTTGGGATGTCTACTGAGACTGCTGTTTTTTCTAAAGAGACTAAAAATCAAAGAGCAATAAAAAATGAAATTAAAATTATATAGCACATTTTTTCTAGTAAAGCCAAAGTCTTTGTTATAAGATATTAAGGTCATTTTGGACAAAATATCATTGAAGTTACCAAAATATTGATGTCATTACAATTAATTGATTAAAGAAACTAGAAAAACATATAACATTCAAATAAGTATTAATCCTTGGTAAAGGAAGGGAGAAATCAACTTGAAACAGGTCATATAGAAATTGCATAGAAGTAATTGCTTTATTGGAAGTGATATAGAGAAAATAACCAATTTGTTTATTTCACATAGACTGACTTAGAAATAAGTTCTACATGTAGGCCGAAATCACATCAGATTTGTAAGCTGCTCCAACTCTAGTGCAATTTGTCCATCATACTGGGGGAACTAAATAGGTGATTTTGCATGAAGGAACACAATAACCTTTAACAATGTAATTTCCAGTGGTTTCAGGAAGCTGTTGGGCTCTTTAGCTTTATGATAGCCTCAATATTTTTGATTATGAAGTCTAATATGAACCTTTGAGCCGTGTGCAAAGTTAGGCTTTGTCTCCTGAATGTAGTCATTATGTAGAAATTACTCCTTTAACTGTGCTTTCAAAGCCCTTCCAACATACTGCCATTTTAATAACTATTATGTGGTATATTATATCATGGTTGCTTTTACACATATTTGCCTCTAACCTTAGGTTACAAGCAACTAAAGGGTAGAACTTTTCCCTAAATTTTTGTACCCTCCCAACTGAATGTAGTTCTTCTGTTGGGCTACAGTGGTGGCTGCCCAAGGATTGTTGAGGAAATCAGTGAAAAGTTGAATGAAGTGATTGTGCTTTGTCACCTACATTTTTCTTCAAAAAAACATTCCTTAGAAATGACAAAAGCATATAAGAACTTATTATTAACTATTAAACCTCTCTACCTGCTAAAATGATGTATTAAACTACATAGCAGAACAAATAAATACATTTATAAGTTTATTTGGAACTTCAACATACCCTATGAAGATTACCTTTGTGCACATGACAGTGTTCTGTTCCTTAAAAAAAAAAAAAATGAAATTCTAGAAATATTTTCCTTTTCTTAAATAGCATAGGTTCCTTAAGAGCTACGGCCACATCATCTCTTTCAATCCTAGAAATGGTCAGGAGCAGGCCATACCACTTCAGAATCCAAAGTGACATATATGGGATTATTATACATTTTTATGAATGTTGCTGGGTCCAGGAATTCTTCACATTTGCACAAGTACTTTATTATTTGTTCTGGGAGGAGTAGTTCAGGTACAGCCTGGTGCAAGTTATCACCTGGCCCTTTAGTGCCCACTTTAACAGTCTTGAAAAGATACGCTCCTAGTTTATGAGTTTGGGTGAGAAATTCTGTGATGACCTCTTCTAGTGACTGGGACTGTGTCACATCGTCAAGATACATAACTGGCACTTTTATTACCGAGACCTGCCACTGCATGAAGAGCCTCGATGGGATGTTATGGGACACAACTACTATTTTCATTCCTTGGATTAAAAACTCATCATCATTCTTTTCACGGTCAATGTAATCTAGAAGAATTCTGAGAAGAGTGCCACTGGAAGACTCAAGGATGTGGAGAATGGAGGTGGGATACATGAGCAGTAATCCTGTCACCAGTTCTCCTAGGTGATGTTTCACAATTGACTGAAACACCTGTTCATAGTATTCAGAAATGTCTCTTTTTTCCGTGTTTGCTGGAATCTTGGCCACTAAAAACATCCTATGAATGAGGAATTTCTTTAGATGGAGTCTTTGCTTCTCTTCCTGAAAGTGTAAGTAATTGTTTCGTGGAACTTGTGGCATCAGAAGGGATTCCAATGGAAAAGTCCGTTTGCTGGTTTTTCGGACATGATGGCCTATGGAGGACATGATCAGTTCTGTTTACTCCTCTCACTGATTCCAGTTTTAAGTTTATCACATATTTATATTATCAGGTACCTCTCCACGATGAATATTTTTTTCCTTTTGATGAAAACAAAAAAAAAGCGAATCACAGTTTTTCAAATGTCATTGAATTACAATATCTTTTTCTAGTATATCAATAAGCAATTAGTACTTGGAATTGAAACATAAAGTCAAAACAAGACTCAAATTATGTAATTTTTTGTTAAGTTTACAAGGAAATATGTAATAATCAAATCCTGTTTTGGAGCTGGGAGGAACCTCTCCAAAGGTTCTGAGAGAATTCAGAGTTAAGAGTAATTTACAGATTAAACATTGTTTATATTATTTTTCCTTTAATCTATAGTGATTTTTTCTCAATCCTTAGTCTTGACATGAATATATATATATGTATAATATGGATATAAACATACACATATATATATGTATGATGCCTGTTACATTTGTAACTTTGAATATATTAGAAATATAGTTGTTGTTGTTGTTGTTATGTGCCGTCGAGTCGGCCCCGACTCATAGCGACCCCTCCTTGGGTTTCCGAGGCAGTATCACTACGGAAGTAGGATTGCCCAACCTTCCTTCCGAGGAGTGGCTGGTGGGTTTGAACCGCCAGCCGTCTGGTTAGCAGGCAAGTGTCTTAGACTTAGATTTAGAAATATAGTAGAAATACTGAAATCTATTTGCTGACAGTTCCTGCAGCATATTAAAATGTCATTTCCTTCTATAATGGTGCTAACAGATTGTCCTTGATTTGTCAGATTAATAAATTGGTGTTTTCATAGTAATTTCCCCAGTTTCTTTTATAAACGTAACTGGTCTATTGAAAAAATCTGGATATCACTAAGTCCTAAAATGAGCTTATTTAACCTTTATTCAGGATCCCAAAAGTTACAGTGCTTCTTGGATGAGAACAGTAACTTTTGAACAAATAAATGTCAACTTTCTTTTTTCCCTCCTATCAAAAATCTTCAGAAATAGTTCTTTTTTCCTGGACTTTTTTTTTTTTTTTTTTTTGTCCTGTATAGGGGTCAAATTAAAATGCTCTGTTATTTTTAACTTACTCTTTTTAAGACTCTCTCTTTCTGTTTGTTTCATACCAACTTAATGTTTCATTTTCTTTCTTCAAGTGCTTTTTTATTTATCAGTCCCTCTTGATGTCCCTCTTGACCTCCATTACTCTTCCAACTGCCAGATCTCTGATGTCCTGAGTTCTATTCTGATTTTTATAGTATAGGGTCAGTTGGAATGCCAGCTCCCTTAAAGGGCCAGAGTGCACTTTCAATTCCCACTTCATAATTTAATGAACATATTTCAACAGACAGCTTAATATCATGGGAAAGGAAGTAAGGGCTTCTTTTTCCTGAAGGTTATTTTAGCCAGATGCATTGTAAAGTTCATAAATGGTGGACCTGGAAAATTTCCTAGACATACTCTTTTTTTGGGTGGTGGGGGTTTGGAAATAGGAAGTATGGTTGTAGACCATCTTTGTTGTGCTGTTGTTGTTAGGTGGTTGTAACTCATAGCATCTCTATATACAACGGAATGAAAAATGGCCTTGTCCTGTGTCATCCTCACAATTGGTGCTGTGCTTGAGCCCATTGTTGCAGCCACTGTATCAATCTATCTCATTGAGAGTCTTCCTCTTTCTCATTGACTGTCTACTTTACTAAGCATGTTATCCTTATCCAGGGACTAGTTCCTCCTGAGAACATGGCCAAAGTAAATGAAACAAAAATCTTACCATCCTTGCTTCTAAGGAGCATTCTGGCTGTACTTCTTCCAAGAAAGATTTGTTTGTTTTTCTCCCTGTCCATAGTATATTCAATATTCTTCACCAACAACATAACTAAAAGACATAAATTTTTCTTCAGTGTCCCTTATTCATTGGCAAGCTTTTGCATGCATATGAGGCAATTGAAAATACCATGGCTTGGGTCAGGTGCACCTTAGTCCTCAGGGTGACATCTTTCCCTTTTAACACTTTAAAGAAGTTGTTTGCAGCAGATTTGCTCAAAGTAATGTGTCATTTGATTGTTTGACTGTCATTTCCATGGGCATTGATTGTGGATCCCAGTGAAGTGAAATCCTTGACAACTTCAATCTTTTCTCTGTTTATCATTACGTTCTGTATTGATCTCCTTGTGAAAACTTTTGTTTTATGTTAAGGTTTAATCCATACTGAATGCTGTAGTCTTTACCCTTCATCAATGTGTACTTCAAGTCTTTTTTGATTTCAGAAAGTAAGTTGTGTCATCTGCATATTACAGCTTGTTAAAGTTGCTTCCTTCAGTTGTGATGCTGCATTTTCTCTATATTGTCCAGCCTCAGATTATTTGCTCAACATACAGACTGTGTAAGTATGGTAAAAGGATCCAACCCTGATACACTCCTTTCCTGATTTTAAACCATGCAGTATCACATTATTCTATTTGTATGACTGTCTCTTGATCTATATACAGGTTCCTCATGAGCACAATTAAGTGTTCTGGAATTCCCATTTTTCACAATGTGATCCATAACGTGTTATGATTCACACAGTCGAATGCCTGTGCATAGCCAAAAACCACAGATAAACATCTTTCTGATGTTCTCTGCTTTCAGCCAAGATCCATATGACATCTCAGTCTACATCCTCTGCTGAGTCATTTCCTGTCAATTTACTGCTGTAAGCATTTTTGGATTATTTTCAACAAACTTTTACTTGCATGTGATAATTTGTTATGATCTACAAAGTTGAATGCCTTTGCATACTCAGTAAAACACAGGTAAACATCTCTGTTATACTTAGGAATTAATGATTGTAAGAACACATAACCAAATCTGCGTAATGTTGAATCTACTATAATGAGGCTCTATAGTAAGGTTTGGCTTTCTTAATTTAATGTGACTTTAATTTTTAGATTTAAAAAAATTAATAATACCTTCTCTTAAAATTGCATATACATATACTCTGAATCGTAATTCTAAAGCAGTAAGGTTAGAAAAAACCCATATTCAGTTTAAAAATTTAACTTTAAAATACGTTTTTTCTTGTTTTTTCTGTTATCCAACCTAATGATCTGGTTTTATCAATATACAGTAAAAAATTATTCCAGAAAGTAGAGGCTGAAAAGTGACTTACCAATTCTTTGTGTGGTACATAAAAATTGCCTATAATTTCTCTTTAAAATCCACTTAATCACACCCTAAAATAATTCAGTCTTTCCCAAGGGGCACATTAATCTTATCATTATCCAGTCTTGGGGTTATTCTTACCATCGTATTTATTAATGTTTTGTAGAATGTGATGATGGTGACCATGACTTTCTTTCTGGTCTTTTCACCTCCTTTGATGTCTATGATAGTGTATTTCTCTGGATTTCTTCCCAAATCTCTACCTGATTCCTTCTTACACCCAACTCTGGCAATGCTGTGGCTCTGTACTCATTATGCAGATCTCTTATGTTACCTCCTTGTCCAGTTGGCTCAGCCCTGTCTATGTTTCTTTTTTGTGAGAGCACATGGGTAATGCTCAATGCCTTTCTGATTTTCCAATTCTGTAATTGACATTGATGATTGATCATGGAGTCTTTCCTGCTTGACCAAGGACTGGGGATCCTTCTCAGTCTAGGGCTTGAAGTACACACAACTAGTTGATTAGGGATGGCAAAACAAAATCTAATTCCCATCTAGTATTTTCTCTGCACAGAAAATTTCCAAATTGAAATGATCAACCCTTTATTTACAACCTTTCTCCTCTCTGATTTCCCTTTATCTCTTCAGATTTAAAATGCCAACATTTTAACCAGAATTCCTGTGGTTAACAAAGAGAAACTCCAGACACTCCATGGAAGAAAGATGAGGCAGTGTGCTTCTCTAAAGATTTACAGCCTTGGAAATCTGGTGGCGACTGCTATGAGTTGGAATCGACTTAATGGCATCAAGTTTGTTTTTTGGTTTCTTAACCGTATTTCCTGCTACAAATTTCCCACTTGTTTCTGCGTTAATATTATTTCTTTTATCACGGAGGCCAGGATCGTTGGTTTAGCCTACATTTTTCCTAAAAGTTATCCCATGATTCTAACTTCTGTTAGGAAGTCTTTTACTCACTTTGAAATGTATCCTGGGCTCTTGATTTGTACCACCTCCCATCATAGTCCCAGCTCTTCACCTGGACTCTCATGAGTCTTATTCCTCAGAATTTCTCTTTATTTTCTCAATCATTCATCTAAGAATATCAAACTGTGTGACCTTAAGATATATCAGCATCATAAAGTTAAAAAAGTATTTAATGATTTTTCGAAGTCCTTCCTGTTGTATTTTCTTTCCAGAGAATGCCAGCAGAATAAGCATTTGCCTTTCCCAGATCCAGAGTGATTTCCAGTATTTTTCTCAAGATCCAGTGATGGATTAGAGCAGAGAGATAATGAGGAAATGCAACTGCACAGTTTGTTACCTAACACTGACTTTGACCAAAGTCAATTGGAGAAGTTGCAGGACATTTCTACCCAGAAGCCACTTTTGAGTGCACAAAATCAAATTAACCTTTTATACATAGGTATGATTTTTCCCCTTAATGACACCATTCTTTATCTATAGCATAATTTCTTCCCTAACTTGGCCAAGGACTGACCCTCAAGATAAGGTTAACTGCAGCATGTACAGTCCTGGCTCTAATTGCTGTTGACTTTATTTATGTACTTTTTCTGATAATTCTATTCCCACTAAGAGGGGACTCAATTGTCAGGGCAAATGAGGGTTAAACATTGCAACAAGCTTTTTACTTCATCTGGTCATATTCCCACTATCTTCTTGGCTCCCTTCACTCTTGGGTTAAATAACTCACACTATTCCATAGTTCTTATTTTCTCTCTTGGTTTTACCATCTCTCTTCAAGGTCTGCCTTTCTTGTACTGTTTCTTTTAAATTACTTTGATAAGTTTTCTATTTCTTCTAGCATTACAAACTTGATGCATTCCCCCTTCTCCTAAATCAAAGCTCATTCTCTGATCAAAATTTCTTACATAACATCGCTGTGGTTATTACACGTGTCTTTTTTTTTTCCCTAAAAAAAAAAAAAAAAAAGTGATTTTTCTACCAATATATACTTTTTTTGTTTTCTTTTCATTCAGATGTCTTTGTTCCTCCAATATAAACCAAACAGAAGAATGTTGATATCATTGTTATTCCTAACTTAAACTATGTATTTCTAGGCCTTTCAAAGGATGATAATCTTTATTTATTTATTTTCATAATTTTGTTGAGAATATACACAGCAAAAAATATACCAATTCAACAGTTTGTACATGTACAATACAGTGCCACTGATTACATTCAAGTTGTACAACCATTCTCACACTCCTTTTACAAATTGTTCCTCCCACATTAACGTGAACTCACTGCCCCCTAATTTTTCCTATGTAATCTTTCCAGTTGTTGTCAGTTTGATCTGACACAAATAGTTCTTAAAAGATCACAGTGCTCAGTGCAGATAATCTTTTAACAAAGGCTAATTGGTGTTAGTTAAAACATATGAAAAAGTCATTTCTACAAGTTAAAATTTGTTTAAAGTGACCATTTTTTATGGTTCAATCTAATTCCTTCAGAAACAGTATTTTTGACTATCATGGATAGTTTGACATATCTTTATCTCATTTTCCCAATGTATTTTTCCACTTCTCAATGCATTTTTAGTTGTTTGAGTTGCTTCCTTCAAATTTTAATTTCTTTGTCATTTGTCTATCTGAAGATTTAAAGGCAACTTACCTTGATCCTTGTCTTTCACACGCTGAATAACAAGAGTAATTTTCTGATCAAAAAAGTTAAAAAAGGCTTGCCTTATATCATTGTTCTGCTTATATAGTGCTATTCTGACAGGAAACATACCACAAATGGGATGGTTTAAACAAACAGGAGTTTATTCTTACAATTTGGAGGCTTTAAGTCCAAGTTCAAAGTGCCAAGCTCTAGGGGCTGGGTGAAGGCCCCTTCGCCTTGGGCTTCAGCTCTGCCTCCAGCTCCCTGCCCACTGAAGCTAGAGGCTTTTCTTTACTCAGGCAGCTACTGGCTGCTGAGGCCGCCAAGCCCGAGATTGACAAGTAAAAAGGCACAGTCTTGATGTTACCAAACCACACTACAGGCCATTAATTTAAGTCCATTGTAAGTCCCAAGGTCGACAGAACATGGCAGGCTGCTGGACAACAACAGGGCTACATGCAGGGTCCAAGCATGCCATAAGCTAGAGACCATTCCCCAAGGCTTCTGCTTATATACAGGAAGCAGACCACAAACACAAAGGCAGCTCCTCAGCTGCTCACAGTAGATTCCACCATGGAGTGGATTACCAGTCTCATCATGGGGAATACTACACCCGGCTGCCAAGCAACCAGGCCCAGCCAGTTGATACATAAACTGAACTACCACAATCATGATATAGCAAGAGAAACAAACTGTAGTTATTAAAGTTTCTGACTGATTGAAAAATACTAATTTCACAGACTTCTTTCAATATACACTCAGTATTTGAGTTCACAAGTACCACAAGCTCTCTTCTCTTTGTTAGGGGCTGGTTATTTTCCCTCAGTCGGACTCAAATAGAAGAACTATTCTATGCACCCATCTGCATTAAGTGACATTTTGATATTCCTCCAACAGTGTTCTAATCAGAGTACCTACAATTAAATGATAAACAATTAAATTCAAACAATTAAATGATAAAACTTAAGGCGAACCTTATGATGTCAAATCTTGTTTCAATTATTCTACCTTTGTATTCTTGTTATTCAATTTATCTCCCATGAATCAGTCAAGCAGTATACCTTGCTATGTCCTATATTCTTATGGTTTTTTTTTTCTTCATAAAATGTCTTTGAATTACT